GCAGGCAGGTCATTCCAACCTTGGCCCCCAGAGGGGTTGGCTTTTCTCATCTCTGCTTTTTGTTGTTGTTCTAATTTGATCTTACTTGGCACCCTGTTTAGCTGGACCACCCATTGTTCTAGTTTTATCTTAATCTGAAAATCCATAGTAAAAGTTTATCTCTCTGATCAGATTCCCATAATCCTGTCCCCAAGTCAGGTTTGCTCCAATTATTGCTATGTAAATGTTCAGGTCTAAGCTTTGAGGTTTGACAGTAGGCAAAGATGGCTTCTTCCTGCCTGTATGAGACTACTACTAATTACACATGCTGTGAAGGAGCAGACTTCTGTGCTACGTATGTTTACAATACAGGAATGCAGGCTAAAAATCTGAAATACAGCTGGGAGGTTCTACAACCAAGCAGAAGAGAAAATTCAGAGGCAAGAGAAGGGAGAATAAGTGTTAAATACTACTCAGAGGTCAAGTAAGATGAGGACTAGAGGAAAGGGTCTGGATTTGGGATTGAGATATATTCTTGTTAAAGCAGCTTGGGGGTGTGGTAGTGGTAGGGAAATCAGGGTCTTTGAGCTGTTTCTACTTTTCTTCAGATACCAATTTAAATGCAATTTGTTTGAGGCCATTCATGTATTCCTAAACTGGGTTCATACTCCAGTTTTGATACTAGGAACACTTGTTATTCAATCAATGCCCTGATGACTAGGCTTTAAACTGTAAGCCACACTCATAGTCATACCCTAGCTCCTAGCAGTGCCTGACCCATGATGCGCTCTCTACCATTGACTACTGTATGACCTTGACATTGAAACACTTTGTTCTTTCAAGGTTCATTCTCACTTTTCTTTCAGTGGAAGTAATTTACTTCTGTTGAATGCTAATTACTCCTCATGTATAATAGACTATAGTTCTCCCACTTAGAGATTGTACAATGTCTATATTCTTATCTTTTTACCTTCCTTCCTCCAAGTCTCTCTCAGGTCAAAATATTTACCTGTGCCAATTGTTGGTTCCTTCTAGGTCCTGGGGTGAGTAGTGTTATGCTAACTATGGTACTTGTCTCTTCTTTCAAGTCTTTTACTCCTTTGTTTTCTATCCTCTGTCCTTATCATTTAAACACAATTATTCTCAAAACAGACCTCAAAGACCTCTGAGTTACAAACTTTTGACCCTTTTAGTACTACTCAGTCTCCCTGAAAATGGATTACTGTACACTCTTCCTACAAGAGGCTGTCTCAGTATTATGACACTACTGTCTCCAATGACTGGGCATTTCTCTTTTGCAGAATACTTTTCTCTTTCATTCTGGAAACACTGGTGCTCTTCCAGGGCTCTTTATTCTTTAACAGTTCCTTCTCTATTCTAAATCGTAAGATCCCTTTTTCTACTCCTTTAACCTACCAACCAGGCAACTTGACCCTTTACTACTTTCAGTGTCCCCAGGCAGGTCCTAATATTGCCTTTAGCATTTCTCATTTACTTCCTTTCCATTTGTTCTACCAGGGACTTTTTGGTTAAGACCTTCAGTATCATGTAGCTAGAAAGATTCAACACCTTAATTCACTTTGCCTCTCTTCAAATAGTGCTTTTTCTCTAGTCAGTTTGTTTGAATGGCCAGAACCATTTGCAAGGAAATGGAAAGACTTGGAAAAATATTAAGTGAAGTAAGCCAGATCCAAAGAAACATAGATTGCAATAATTAGAATGTGCCTATAAATCTACAAGCAAACCCAATAGATAGTAATAATTACACGTGAACATGATTAAACAGCACTCTAAAAATTCACACAGAGACCAATGGATACTTTTAGAAGAGGATTACAAGGTATCAGTAGTTATGTGCCTATGGCCACATAAAATAGTGATTAAATAAACTCCAAGAAATGGAAACAAGAAGTTTATTTTTTATTATTGAACTGTTTGCGGGTCCCCTCACCTTTGGTTTATTCCTTTTTGTCCCTGGTTTTGATTTCTATACCTTTGTCTTATATGTTTTACCTGATTTGTGGAGAGGAAGGGAAAGCACAGAAACAGTGGGACAAATGGTGAACCAATTCAGCAGTGGTACTCATTGGACACTAACTTGGAAATGAACAATACAACTTGGAGAAGAAATGTACTCATTACTTGGCTTATATAACTGTATCCCTGTGTATCAACTTTACAATAAAAAATTTTTCAAAGTGATTTTTTTTAATGGAACAAAAACCTAGTCATTATTCTTTCTCTGCTTAAAACCATTTAGCCTAGGCTGTTGCCAGGGGTCTGGCCTGTAATCTACTCAAGAGGCTGAGATCTATGGATCCAAGTTTGAAGCCAGCTCAGGCAATAAAGTCCCCAAGAATATCTCCAATTAATCACTGCCAAGTAATTGCTTAAGGGGCAAGACAAACTAACCTTAAGTGTAAAAGCTAAGGGACGGCACCCAGACCTTGGGTTTAAGCGCTAGTACTGGCATCAAAACAAAACAAATTTGGTGGCTACTCTGTCCTTATAATAGAATCCAATGTGCCATATTTACGATTCAAATATAACTTTTACTCCCAACTTGTTAAGCCAGCATATTCTCCCACATTTTCTCTATAAAATCAAATACTGGTTGGCTAACTTCCTTTTCCAAATGTCAGCTCAGACACTTCTTTTCTGACCTCTTCTTTCTGCTCTCTGTTTCATTGACTCCACAGGATTTTTTTTTTTTTTTTTTGTCGGTCATGGGGCCTGAATTCTGGGCCTGGGCACTGTCCCTCAGCTCTTCAGCTCAAGGCTACGCTCTACCACTTGAGCCATAGTGCCACTTTTGGCTTTTTCTGCTTGTGGTGTTGAGGAATCCAACCCAGGGCCTCAGGCATGCAAGGCAAGCACTCTACCATTGAGTCACCTTCCCAGCCCCTCCACAGGACTGATTTAAACATAATTCATATTAGAATTTGTTGAAATTATGAATTTGCTATGTGAAAACTCGGTAGGCTGAACATTTCCCAGAATTCTGTACTTCAATGTTATCATTTTTGAGCATGACATGCAGACGGATGTGAAGCTCATTTTGTGGCTTATGTTTTTTTTTTGTTGTTGTTGGTCATGGGGCCTAAACTCTGGGCCTGGGCACTGTCCCTCAGCTATTTAGCTCGAGGCTAGCGCTCTACCACTTGAGCCACAGTGCCATTTCCAGCTTTTTCTGTTTATGTGGTGCTGAGGAATTGAACCCAGGGCCTCATGCATGCGAGGCAAGCACTCTACCACTGAGCCACCTTCCCAGCCCCTGGCTTATGTTATCGTATTGGCTCATAAGTTGCGGTTAGGCAACTTCCAATCCTTTTTGTGGATAATTCTTTCCCTAACCTTTGGGTCAAGAGTTTATGGACAATCATAAATGTCATAGATAACAAAAATTGATGTTTCAATCTAGAGTGATCTTCACTTGTTTGTGACTGTCTTCCACTATAAAATTCATCTTTCCTTAATTGCCTGCCAGGTAGACTATGAGCTTCAGCATTAAAAATAATTACCTACAGATGAAAAAAAAAAAGACCTAAGCAGATTCTACAATCAAGTAAAAAATCCATTAAAAATATGCATTTTAGTAGTTTGTTGAAACCTGATTTGACTTACATACAAAAGAAATGCTGAAGCCAGTAAGAACACTCAAGATGGTGCCTTAAGATGGCGCCTGTCAGTCTTAAAACACCCTGCTCCAAAATTTGTGTATGCTGCCTTGCTTTCCTATATATATTTTAATTTTTTGAGGTGTATAGCTATACCACATCTTGCTTTTCCATGTATTTGTTGGGCTGCTATATTTTAGCAATTACAAATAATACAGCTATAAACACTGTGTACAAACAAAAATCCCTTCAAAGACCACACCTTCCCTCTTTGGAGATAGTCTTAAGTTGCCCAGGCAGACCTTGAAGTGGTGCTAACAATCTATCCACCTAAACCTGACAAGCTGGTAAAATGCCACCACAGTCGACTTCCTTTACAATATATATCCAGAAGTGAAGGTGGCGGATAACCTAGTAATTACATTCTTAATTTTTTGAGGAACCTTTTACAGTGGCTGTGGCATTCCTTATTTCCAACTATGTACACAGGTTCCAATTTCTCCGTTTCCTCACCAATATGTACCAATGTGGGTTTTGAATAGGGTAAATCTCAAAAGTGGGTAGAGTTCCAGTTTATTTGGTGCTGATTGAATCTGGAACCTGATACACACTGGCATATCTTCTTCTACTGAACAATAGCTCTACCTACCCCTTTTGTTTTGGACAATTATCCTCTAGACTCATATGAGATTCTGAAATTCTGAGCTTATAGTATTTGCTATAGGCTCATGCCTATAATCCTAGCTACTCAGGAAGCTGAGATCTGAGGATCATGGTTCAAAGCCAGCCTGGCAGGAAAGTTCATGAGACTATTATCTCCAATAAACCACCAGAAAACTGGAAGTGGCGCTGTGGCTCAAGTGGTAGAGTGCTTGCCTTAAGCTGAAGAGCAGAGGGACAGCGCCCAGGCCGAGTTCATGCCCCATGACTGACCAAAAAAAAAAAAAAAAAGTAATGGTATGATTTAATATATAATATTTAATTTTTGGTACTGAGATGTGAACTCATGGTTATTCAACTTCCTTGCTAATTTAGGCTAATTAATTGGAAATGGGAGTCTTGTGGTCTTTTTTGATAGTTTTGAACTGAGGTCTTCTAGATTTCAGTGTTGGAAATAGCTAAGATAACAGGGATGAGCCACTGATGCCTGGCTTTAGTTATTTTAAGAACAATATTCAAAAGTATTAAGTATCCCATAACTTGCCAGTTAGAATTGTGAAACATGAAAGATTGTTTCAATTGTCACTTTATTGGAAGATGGTAAAATTAGTTACCAAATTAAACTGTAACTTGGTTATAATCCTAAATTACAACAAATTTTAATTAAAGCAAACTGCTTATTCAAAGTGATCAATCAAATAACTAAACTCAAAAGGCAGAATAAAAATGAGAAATTTGACTGGCCAATAGTTAGTTCACTAAATAAAATTTGAACTTTTCCTTTGTAAGAAAGGTAAACTGATTTCCACAGATAGTAATACAGAAAGATTTTGCACATAGACTAATTTCCATTCAGTTAACTTTTTTAGAGATTTCTGTTGGGAGATTCATTTACATAACTGGCTGTGCTTGAGCCTTCTTTGCAAGCATCTTTAGATCTGTGATACACTTGGCAATTGTCTCCTTTTCCTGTGATAAGGAAAGAAAAATTTAGTCAGACATTTCTAAAACATGGATGGGTATAAAATTTCATAATTCTAAAGGACAACACCTACCAGATCAGAAACTCAAACTCATTACTAGTTGAAAATGTTAATATACTTCAGTTCACAGCTTTGTGGATGAAATCTAGAACTTGAGACAGATAACCCTATAACTACCAGCCCATGTCGTTGGCTTATACAGCTGAGATCCTTACAAAAGACCAACAATCATTAGCAATACAGACAGATTAAGAATCTTTTTTTTGTTTCTTTTTCATTTGTTTTTGGCTTTTCTAAGTTTAAGTATTAAAATTTTAACTGCCTCATTTTTATGTAAATATAGTTTGTTAAAAAAATTAAAACAATCCATCAAATTTCAAAAGACCTGTTTTTCTAATCCTATATTATGTAGACAATGACCAAAAAGGCCTACATATGCCATGCATCTGGGGTAGGGAGGGGAAATCAAAGCAAAAGTAAATAAAGAATATAATCTTTAAAAACAGGAAATGGAATGGAGACCATGGGATGAGGAAATGAAAGTGTACATTTCACAGAGAATATCCTGGCTATTTGCTGCCCTGATGGACCATGAGCACCACTCATCACAACCAGTGTGTTCAGTGACCTCTCCACTGGTTTTGATCTTTGATGTGAGAAACCTTTTGGTAATCAAACTTTAAAAGGGAAAGTCATTATCACATTTGTGTAGCATTTCTTAGCTTACCACTGTCCAAAAAAATTAACTTTGCTATTTCTAGGTAAACACTCCATACAAGTAAGTTACTTCAAACTTTATGAAGCATTAGCAGCAGATAATAACCACAGGCACCCATATAACTCCAGAAGTTACAAAACCTCTTGTACCTGCTGTGCAGAGATGCTCTGTATCACACGGTCCTCCACCCAGTTTATCATGTGTTCTTGCTCCTTTTGATGCATCATATTCTGCACAGAGATATGGTAGTCCAAGCGATTTTTTACCTCCTTGTATACTCTATGCAGCCGGTCCCGGTAAGTAACCTCCAAGGCCATAGCAATGTTATTCTGGAGCAAAATTAAGAAATGATGAATACTATTTGCAAAATTGAAGGAATACTTCTGTTGTGAGAATTTTGCCTGTCAGAATGCCTGATTTCTTTTTGTGAAAGGCCTTTAATACAAATAAACAAGTAACCTACATGTAGTAAAAAAAATTCTAACAGGGCTGGGAAAGTAGCTCAGTGGTACAGTGCTTGTCTTGCATGCATGAGATCCTGGGTTCAATTCCTCAGCACCACATAAGCAGAAAAAGCTAGAAGTGGTGCTGTGGCTCAAGTGGTAGGGTGCTAGCCTTGAGCTGAAGAGCTGAGGGACAGTGCCCAGGCCCAGAATTCAGGCCCCATGAGTGAAAAAAAAATAAATAAAAATAAAAAATAAATTGCAACACTATAGGCAATAAGAAGTCTCCCGTAGCTTCCTTGTGAGCTACCATTTTGTCTGTTTCTTATATTGTCTTGGGAATATTCAATTTGTATACATACACACACACACACACACACACACACACACACACACATATACACGCACCAATTTTATGGCACTGAGGTGTGAACTCAAAGCTCCCACCTCTTGCTCATTTTCTGCTGCTCACAGCTGATGTCTTACTACTACTGGAACCATACCTCCTGTTCAGTGTTTTTGCTAATTAATTGGAGATGGGAGTCCATGGAATCTCATGGACTTTTCTGCTTGGACTAGCTATAAACCTTGATCCTCCAATCTTAGCGTCCTGCACAGTTAGAATTAAAACTGTGAGCCACCGGGACCCATATTAAAACATGTATGTCAACTTAATTAAACCTTATAAACATGGAAGCTACTAGTATTTTCATTTTCCAGAGTACACGGTAGCAAAAGTTAAGCAACTTGCCCAAGGTTACAAAATTAATAAATTGGAACCAAGAGTTGAATATAAGCAGCCAGTCTACAAAGCCCAAATTCCTAAGGATATGTACTTGACTAACACACAATTTGAAGGCTATTCGCAAAAAGCCAGCTAGAGTGAGTCCTCCAAATTTAAGTGAAATCATTTCACTCCTCTGCCAATAATTTTCTCTCTCAATTAGAGTATAGGTCAGAGTTCTTAGAGAAGCCTGTGTGACTTTACATATTTGAACCCTGCTACCCTTCTCCTCTCCTATTATTTATGTTGCCATCCTGACTTTTCCTTGATTATATCTAGAAAATTTTCACATCTTGGGTTCATGCACTTACTATTTTTTATTTCTGCCAGTACTAGGGTCCGCGCTTGCTATGCAGGCACTTACCACTGAGCCACACCCACAGCCTTTTTAGCTTTATTTTTCCAAACGAGGCCTTTTGTTGATGCCCATGCTAGATCGAATTGGGTTGACAAATGCATACTACCATTATCAGCTTTTTTATTGATAAAACTATATCTATTTAAGACATTAAAGAACTACCAATCCACTTGCTAGAAATTATGAGAATGTTCTATACAACCTATGGGTGGGGAAAGGAGGGAAAACTAGGTGTGAGGGAAGGAGTGATACTGTGCAAAAAGAAATGCACTCATTACCTGACTTATGTTAACTGTAACCCCTCTGTATATCACCTTTATAGAAACAATAAAAAAAAATACTCAGCTACATTGGTGTGGGGGGAGAACTATTAATGGAAAAAATAGCTGGAATTATTTTAAATTAGAAATAGCACATAAAAGAAAAATTAAGTTGTAACTAACTTAAGGGCTGGGAAGACATGGTTTGAGTGTTAGAGCACCTGCCTAACAAGCATGAGGCCTGCATCCAAACATTACAGAAGTCATAACTGATTTAACATTTTAAAAAATAGCATGCATCACCTAAGAAAGAGCAGGGAGTTATAAATGACTTCATATATACTTACTATACAAAAATCTTAACATGGGCTGGGAAGGTGGCTCAGTGGTAGAGCGCTTGCCTTACATGCATGAGGACCTGGGTTCGATTCCTCAGCACCACGTAAGAAAAAAGAAAAAAGCCAGAAGTGGGGCTGTGGCTCAAGTGGTAGAGTGCTAGCCTTGAGCTGAAGAGCTGAGGGACAGTGCCCAGGCCCAGAGTTCAGGCCCCACGACTGGACTCAAAAAAAAAAAACTTAACATATTTGTAATTGGAAAACCTAGTAAGTTCTAGCACAGTGATTCATATCTATAATCCTAGCTATTCAGGAAGGGGAGCTCAGGAGGATCACAATTTGAGGCCAGTGCAGAGCTGAGATATCCCTATCTCAATTGATAAAAACCTGGACTTAGATACACACCTGTAATGTTAGGTACATGGGAAGTGTAAATAGAAAGATCTTGGTTGAGGCCAGGCTGGGAATAAAGTGAGACCCTAATTGAAAACTAATTAAAGCAAAATATGCTAGGATGTGGCATGGCTCAAGTGGGAGAGTATAAAAGAAGATCTGGAGGCTGGCAAGGTGGCTCAGTGATAGAGTGCTCGCATGCATGAGGATCTGGATTCAATTCCACAGCACCACATAAATAGAAAAAGCCAGAAGTGGCACTGTGCCTCAAGTGGTAGAGCACTAGCCTTGAGCTGAAGATCTGCGGGACAGTGCCCAGGCCCAGAGTTCAAGTCCCACGACCAACAAAAAATAAAGAAAAATAACGAATATCTGATAACTTACATTCAAACTGAGACCACAGTAGAGCTTTTTACTATATTCAGAGCATAGATACTAAAATATTTATTTTTCTAAAATTAGGAACACATTCAAGGATGTTCTTTAAGCCAGTATTTTATGTCTAATAGTTACACCTATGAAGAGCTGGGTGCCGGTGGCTGAGATGTGAGGATCACAGTTCAAAGCCAGCCTGGGCAGGAAAGTCCATGGGACTCTTCTCTCCAACTAACCACCAGAAAACCAGAAGTGACACTATGGCTCAAGTGGTAGAGCACTTGCCTTGAGCTGATGAGTGCAGGGACAGGGGCCCAGGCCCAGAGTTCAAGCCCATGACCAAAAAAAAAAGAAAGAAAAAAAAGAACCAACTATGAAAAGATAAATGAGATGCAGAAATAAAGCATCTAAAACCTTGATGTTTGTCATTATTTTTCACTGTGATCTCAGGTACTCAGTGCATTAGTGTAGGTTTTTGGATTCATTCCAAAATGAATCAGAATCCCTGAAGTTTCTAAGAATTTATATTCTTTTTAACAAGATTATTTTTTAGAATTTCACAAGATCCTTGAGCATATGAATGTTTATCTCAGAAAACATTAAAACCTCTTTTGGTGTATATTTAGATTATAGCTGGAGAATACTGTCTCACATATAACACACACACATACACACACACACTACCTCTTAAAAAAACAAATGATTGTTATTTAAGTTTTTGTTTATATTATTAGATATTTGTTGAATTTTTTTAGTGTGAGTCTCATGGTCAAAGCAAAGTGCTGAAAATATAACAGAGAAAGAAAATTTCTGCCTTTATGGAGTTTAATTCTACCCAGCCATGGGGAGAGTAGGAAGTAAATGGTTGAGTAAATATGTCACTGGGCAACAAACACTAGGAAGCATAGAAGCAGAGGACATTACAGGATAAAGACTTACCATTTTATAGAGCAGTCAAAAAAGTTCACTCATTAGGATTTTTGAGCTGAGACCCAAAAGAAGGAATAGATGCAAAGTCTATGAATTTCTGGGGAAACAGTTTTCCAAGTAGAGAGAAAAAGCACAAGAAGCTAGGCTCACTTGCTAACACCTGTAATCCTAGCTACTCAGAAGGCAGAGATTGGGACAGTTGGGACAATTCAAGGTTAGCATCGGTGGAAAGTGTGAACCTAAATTTGTAAACAAAATCAAGTAAATCCAATTTAATCATTCCTTGTGAGAAGTTGTTTCTTTTGTTTTATGCTAAAGGCTGAACCCAGGTCTTGTGTCTGATAAACAAGTACTCTACCACTAAGCTGTATCTACAATCCATTTTTTTTTATTAAAGGCAAAAGACTTACATAATCTGAAAAGAAACCAGTTTGTTTTTTAAATACACACAAATAAGTTAGTTCTTTTAACTGTTGAAACCTACCCTTTGGACATCAAAAAGGTAGTGGCGTTTCTGAACCAGTGCCTGCTGTGACTTCTCTGTATTAATTGCTTCCTGGATTTGTTTGATAGAAGCCTGTTTCACCTCTTCTAGTTGGGCAATTTTTTGCTGTAATTATAAAAGCAACAAGAGTATAAAACAGATTTTATGCTTAAAATTCTACCTCTCATTTGTGAGAATTCCCTCAAGATACATAGGGAAATACAGAAATCTTCAACAAAGAACTGCTTATTAGCTGGGTGCCGGTGGCTCATGCCTGTAATCCTAGCTACTTCAGAGGCTGAGATCTGAGGATCAAGGTTCAAAGCCAGTCTGGATGGAAAAGTCCCCATGAAACTCTTTTTTTGTGTGTGTGGTTTTGTGGGGCTTGAACTCTGGGTCTGGGTGCTGTCCCTCAGCTTTTCAGGTCAAGACTAGCACTCTACCACTAGAGCTACAGCACCACTTCTGTTTTTCTGATTGGTTTATTGGAGTTAAGAGTCTCACGGACTTTCCTGTCCCTCTCTGAGATGGCTTTGAACCACAAGCCTCAGATCTCAGCCTCCTGAGTAGCTAGGATTACAAGCGTGAGCCACCACCCCCAGCAGCGTAAGACTTTTATCTATAATTAACTACTCAAAAACCAGAAGTGTCATTGTGGCTCAACTGGCTGAACACTAACCTTGAGCACAAAGAGGCTCAGGGACAGGGCCCAGACCCTGGGTTCAAGCCCCACAACCAACCAAAAAAAAAATGCTTATTACAGTTATATAATAACTTGTTGAATGAGTATGACTAAGGAAAAAGCAGAGTGTGGTAGATGTAAAAAATTATCTCAAATTAACAGTAATATCAATAAGTGTTTCTCTGATAATAGAAAATGGTATATAAAGTTTATGATTCTTGGGCTGGGAAGGTGGTTCAGTGGTAGAGCGCTTGCCTTGCAAGCATGAGGCCCTGGGTTCGATTCCTTAGCACCACATAAACAAAAAGAAAAAAGCCGGAAGTGGTGCTGTGGCTCAAGTGGTAGAGCCTTGAGCTGAAGAGCTGAGGGACAGCGCTCAGGCCCAGAGTTCAGGCCCCACTACTGGACCCCCTCCCAAAAAAAGTTTATAATTCTTACCTCATTGATTTTATCAATAAATTCTGCAAACGAAGCTCCATACTTTTTAATAGCATAGATCATTAATCCTAGTAATGATATGCCAGAGAAGGTCTCTGGAGTAATCACATATATTTCTTTAGATAGAAAATACAAGATAAGCCCAGTTCCAAGCACATAGGGTCCTGAAAGGAGAAAGAATTATTTTTAAAGAATGCATACACTATGCAGGATATAAAATGCGTGTGCATTTGATAATAATCAAGACTCAACACCAGCTTAAGAAGTAATATGGCAGAGTTCAAGCTGGGCGCCGGTGGCTCACGCCTGTAATCCTAGCTACTCAGGAGGCTGA